TTCGGCACAAATCTTCCACAGCCCATCACAACCCTCTGTGCATTCCTTTTCTTTCGCTTCTTGCAATAACTCCAGGCGAGTTTTCTTAGATCGTGCCAGTTTGTCAAGCAGCATTCTCAATTTCCCATGTGGTATTCAATATATCTGCGACCGCCCTTGGTGTGCGATTTACTAGGAATTCAACAAGATCCGTTTTGCCCTCTTTTTCTGTTGGTGAGCGAAAGCTTGCAGTTCTACCAGTGATTTCACGTTTTTCTCAACTATAATTTCTGTCACCTCGAATGTCGCAAGACGCTTTCTCTTTCTGATGCTAGCACTCCTTCTAGACGTACGCATATCAGTATCTTTGTTGTCGTCACTCTCCTGATCATCCTCATCGCGATGATTTTCGTTTGCAGCTTTCCTTTTGTGTTTGTTATTCCGCTTTACACGAATTGCGGCACTTGTTTTCGGTTCCCTGGCATTCTTAAGGTCCGGGTGGCCAGCACTCTCAATAAAATTCTCATCCTCTTTCGTTACGTATGTCCAGGCACTAGTAGTTATGGTGCTTACTTGAGTACTTCGCGTTTATCCCCTACTCATTGCGTAAAAACTCTTCGACGACAGCCAGCGTTGATTGCAATCAAGCTTCACAGATAGATGGTAGTGTTTTCCGGATTTTTTGTGGTTTTCACAGCTACAACACTACTGTACAATTTTCACATTGCATTTCGCAAATGATTTTACTACCGCGGAGGCAAATTCCTCTCGCGTGGGAAATAGGTCCAAATTAGCCTGACTGTATGTTATCAAATAAACGCTTCTTACTTCCCTCTCACCTAGCGCTTCCCGAAATGATTCACAGTCCTCTGAAGATGTTTCCTCGCTATCACAAGATCGTAAGAGTTCCATTTAGATCGGGGATTACAAGAGAATGTCGTTACTCTTGCAAGTAAAGCGTTTCAGGACGAGAAAGTTGTTTTAAAATGTGTCCATGGTAACGTCACAGAGAAAAACGCACTCTCCTCTAAATCTCAGTTTGTCCCAACAAGAAAACACACAAACCTTGGGTGCGGCTTGCTTCAAGCCAAGCGCTCGGTTTGTTCACGAAAAGACTAAAAGATACATGCCATATCATAGAAACGTAATATGCAGTCTAAGTAACATACAGCTCCAAAAAACTAGATCACCAGCTAAATTAATTTGAAATGGGGTCGTGGAACAACAGCTGGGTGAAAAACCTCCCCGTACGTCCACTTGCACCTAGGAGGAAAACCCCATGCCAGCTGTACCCCATAAAAAACGGTCTCCCGGGCAAGACCAACTTAATAGAAACTAGAATCAATTAAAAGCAGTGCAAACGAGAAAACTAAATACCTAAAGCCTTAGAAACCGACAAACGAGAAGATAAAGAATCTTGGACACATCCGTCCTTAGCCGATTCACTAGCCCAGCGGCCATGACGCTTAAAAAGTTGATCTGGTACACCAGCATTTGTGGCAGCAGTGTCCCCGCCACTCCTAAGGCTATACGTACAAATGGCAGAAATATCAGGAACAATATCTTTAAAGGCCTCTAGCACTAACTCTCTTAACCTTGAATAGCTTAAATCTTTAAATCTAGGCTTATAACCGCATCTAGTTTTGGAAAGCTCACAAAACAAAGGGCTATCGCAGGAAAGCCCAGCCCTCTCTAAATAACGGTTCATCATAGCAACCGGACAAGTTGCTTTCCTAGCAGAAGCTACAACAATCCAAGCTCCATCTCTATACTGATCAGTTTTACTAGATTGAATAAATAACTTTAACATGTCATTTTCGATCTTAACATCGGATCGAACAAGCTTAGCAAGCTCATCAAATCTGAGAACGGCAGCAAAAGCTAGTAAGCAAATAACAACCGAATGAATATTATACAAAGAGGCCATTGAGTCCGCCTTGGAGGCAACTAACTGCTCTAACTGAGAGACCGTGATTGGCTCTTTGGTTGTTTGATGGACCAGCAAACGCTGCGCACCGGCAAGAGTACTCTTCACCAACGGATGATCAGAAGGAGACAGCTCGCCACCCAGCTGGTGAAACCAGGCAATGCTGTGAACTGCTGACTCCAGGGGAGATGCTGTCTTCGCCTCAGTCACTTAATGACGCAAATAAATAGCAAAGTGAAACGGAGAAGCGGGAAAAACTGTCAAGCCATGTTCTCGTGCCCAGGACCTCCATCTGTTGTAGGAAGAAAAATACTTGGAGGAAGTATTGGGTGCCCTGCTAGCCAGCGCAACATCAAGAAGAGAACTTGCAAGGGATTGTAAAGCACTGGATCCCTGGGGAACCGCAGCCCGAAGATCCGACCACATAGTAGAGCTGAAAACATCTGCAAAATAAAAGCAAAAAGAACACACACACCCCCTAAAAAGTCAAAAACAAATAAAAATGACCCGAACGCTGGAAGGGCAAGACCGAGATGAAAGACAAAATCAGCACGCTCAAATATATACCCCTACTAATTACCCACATACCAGCGCGCAACAGGGGTCTTTTTTTGCATGAGCATGCGCGACCGCTGAACAAACGATTGGCATGGAGGCTCACCACAGGTTCTGCCTTCATCAAAATGGCGCGTCTTAAGGTTATCTTGGCGATTATTTTGCTCGTTGGTCTTGGCCAATGTGCGCGTAATTTAATAAAATGTGTGGTTTGTAAAAAAACATTAACATGGTCTCAACAAAAGCAAAGTAGACCGGCTTCAACCTACCAGGAGATACTATCCAATTTCATCTCTCCACATGACCTAGATAACAGCGCGCGTGTATGTAGCGCTTGTAGGATTGCGCTGATATCAGCAAAGTCTAAACAAAGTGCGGAAACGTTTGTTGATGTAAGTAGACACTTTCAATTTCCTTTGTTTTGAAATGGGAAAGGAACACAAATAGTAAAAAAAATGTCATTGCAAATTTCAGCGAGTGGGTTCGAAGTGCGCAAAAGCCGGGCGCCCAAAAAAGTCAAAAATACAATCACAAAGGAAAATGGAAACGGCATCCAACGCAGGCACTCAAACAGCAGAGGAGACATTATCGTTGTCTACATGGCAAGTGGACAACACACTCTTTGGGCAGATTTTAAGAGGGCCATGTGGTCGGGTGCTATTCCCCCCGGACTTGTTTGATGAAGTAGATGAAAGGATGAAAATGCTTTCAAAAAGTAAGCAAAATCCCATTCTGTCATTTTCCCAGACAGACAGACAGACAAACACACAGGTACACACACAGACAGACAGACAGACAGACAGACACACCCACACACCCACCCATACACAGGTAGACTAGACATGCACAGAAGGCAACACGTCTGAGTAAGAGGCCAGTAAACAGATAGACAGTCAGAAAAAAAAGACTGTAATACTAAAAGACTGTAATACAAGTTACTAGATAGGCAGACAGACACAATCACTTTTTATTTACTCATACATTCACTGGATGACTTGCAGGGTGCGACCTCACAAGGGAGTTACAGTGTTTAAAAGAAACTATGTTCAAAGAGTTCCATAAGAAGCCTCCGATATATGATCCAGATGAATTTGAAGCACTCTGCACTAGGGCTGGAGCCAATACTATATTTAATTCTATTTTGTCAGCAATGACCGATGAGAGACATTCGACAGAGCGAATTGCCTTAAATCGAAAAAGGACTGTCACAATCCTCTACAAGCTATGTTATGGCCTCAGCCAAGTGTGTAACTGGCTGCAGACTGACCATTCTATGTATTTGAGGCTGTCCAATATTAACATGGAAGGTCTGCAGACAGAGCAAGTAATGGGAGGAGCTTGTAGTAGGAGTAAAGTGTGCAGCCTTATGAACACAATGAGCCAGAATGCAGCCAAAAAAATTGACGACGTGGTGGCAGAAGCTATTATAAACAAGTGGCAACTAGTATTAATTGTAGATGACTACACAACCATTCACTCAATAAGACGACCACAAGACGAGGAACTCACTAATGCCAATTTCTTTTGTACTATCATCATCAAAGTTTTCAAAAATGTTCCAGCCATACCTGCCTGTCATGTCTCAACTTATCATAATCCTTCTGGTCTCAATGTTACTTCCTGTATAAACACAGTCTCTGGGCCATCTACTATGCATAAATTAACTCTAACATATTCATCCCTGATGCCTCCTTGGATAACTGACACCTTTTTCAATCCCGAATTTGAAAGACACAGGGTAACTGCTCATGAATACTGCCACCATGAGTCTGTTCAGACTATGAGACAAATGGACAATTTACACCTTGTTAACTTTTTCCAATTAACACTTAAAAGCAAAAATGACTTTGATGCTGCATTTGACCTTGTACTGAGTACCAAACTTTCTGAATATCTCAAGTTATTTCTTATTCCTCAACCTGGTGACTGGCCTGCTCAGTTCTACTCCAGACAAGTCATTTACGAAACCCTTCAGAAATTTTGCTGCCCATCTGATGTCTTTGATAATCCTCAAGTGTGCCCTACAGATCATTCATATGCAAGAGTCTGCTCTTATGGACCTATACAACAACAAATGAACGTTAGTACATCTGGGCAACCAGGAATTCTTTCCATAATTCCGTGTATTGGACCCCTTCATATCTCCTTAAATGGAAGGGAAACTGTGTTTCATGATTATCGGCAATTTTTTGAGACTGTCTATAATAATCTCTTTCCAAAAAGCAAATTGGCAAAGAATCCTAAGCCTTGGAGAATCAGTCTGATACTTGAAGTGGTCTACTGTGGATGGCTTTTTATCAGGGACAGTGTTAAGAGCAAATTTTGTTTTTGCAAGGACTTGGAATACAGAACTCTTTTGAATTTGATCGACAATTATCTGCCACTTGTGCTTTCCATCTACAGTGTTACTTACAAACTAAATAACTTTCAAGAGTATCTGAATGCAATGATCAGGATATGGGTGATGTTTGTTTGTCTTGAGAGACATGATTACAATAAGGCCCCACTAGTTTGGCTTTCTATGTGCTCTTACTAGGGCATGCACCATCCTGCCTTATATAAACTGCTTCTGACAAATTTGGTTATCTTTGATGAGTATCCTGTAGAAAACACTCGTAGTATCATACGTTCTAAAACCAACACCCATGACACAGCTGAACAAATACAGAAGAAAGCGAAAGTTGTGTTTCAGTCAAAAATGGAACAGCAGCACTTCAAAGAACACTTCACCCAACTCAAGAAACCGCAGTGGTCACTTAATAACCTCAAAAGTCTGAAGGCCAAATGTGCAAACATTCTTGCAAACATATTTACAGGAATAGCCAGGAACCCAGGGAAAGCAAAAATCTCTACTCAAGGCAAAACTACAAAAGTGTTGTTGCCCAAGATATTTGGAGATGAGCCTGTCAAGATTAAAGTCTTACCTCTGGGATACTGCACCAGCACCATTCCAGACCAAAGCAGACGATGTGATTTACCAGGGTGCAACATAAATGAAGATCTGTCTTGGAAAATATTTGAGGGCTGTTCACATTCTTTCCATCATTCCTGCCTTGGCGAAATACAGTTTTGTCCCCTCTGTCAAGCCTTCCTTGCAAAAAAAGCAGAGAGTCTTTCAAAAACTGCCAAGGAAGCTATTCTAAACCCTAAAGAAAAAGAAAGTGTAAATGAACAATCCAAGAACCTACCAGCAGACGACAGTGAAATAGAGGGTGACTTAGGCACTGCATTGCCTAGTGGAGATGTGGATGAAAAAATAAAACATGTGAATAAAGACATAATGGCACTACCAACACCACCATCCCCACCATTAAACCAAGTATCAAGCTCACCAAGCCAACCAAGTCAAGTTCATCCATCGCACATCCAGCCACCTGCCTCAGCAAGCACAGCACCCAAGAGACAACAACTATGCAAACGATGTGGTCACCCAAGAAAGGGACACACATATCCAAAGAATAGTGCAGTCAGATGCCCCAGATGCAGTAATGGTGTGTGTGCGACCCATGATACATGTACATCGACTCAAAAACATTCAACCGCTTTGCAACCAACACTCCATTATGGACACATTGCTGAATACATCTTACCTTATCATCTTTCCCAAGCAACAATTTTTGGTTTTCCAATTGGGAGCAATGCATGTACTGTCATTGCAGTCATTGGGGCTATGAAATTTCTCTGTGGTGAACTCCCATTGCCCTCTCCTCAAGGAATTATGAACACCATTGCATCATTTGCCAACACCATGAGGGACGGAAATATCCATTACAACTCCTTGGCCATGCCTTCTCATCAGCCTAATCTGGATGCCAGGGAGGCCCTGCAGACAAGACAAGATAACTTTGGACTAACAATTTCACGGGACATTGGGATTGTTTCTCCAGCCTCTCTCACAAATGAGCTCAATCACATATGCAGAAGTGAAGAAAATCTATGTACAATACTAATAACTCCTCCCGACAAGTCCATGTTGCTTTGCTTTAGCAATGAACAAAACAAAATAGCACTTTTTGACAGCCATCAACATGGTAGTTATGGTGGACTTATTGCAGTGGCAACTTACACACAAGTTGATAATTTTGTTTCGTTTCTGAGCTATATGTGTGCCCGTGATTGGGGCAGTGGTATTCCTGGGGCAAATTTAGCAGTGCTGACAAAACGCTGATAAATTGCTTTGCAGGTATCTTGCCGTGTTTGAGGGTCACGCATTGAAAGTCTAGAAAGAGTTATAACAAGGACATGATAGGATTGCTTTAGCATCGCTGTTGAACAGTTAGATACTATTGAGTAAAGCAATTCTAGACAGTAGGACTATACCTAGTAATAAAATTAAGAAATGTTCCAGTTCACTTCAAGAGTAGACATTGAAAAGATACTCCATAAAATACATATGCTTGTCAAACCCATGTCAAGTCTGACTGGACATGTCAGCATGTGCTCAGTTCAACAATGAATTAATATATGTTCTACAATTTTCCCAGCACTTTGAAGCTACAAAATTAAGAGCACACGAGACGTAGATTAGTCACCTGGTGAGATGTTGGTGGTAGTCACTCCGTATGTCTAGAAAAATAAAAAAAATGAATATCAATGAGTCACAGTCAAACCTGCATTCAATAGGACCGAAATTAAAAGTCGAACCTTTTGACCGATTTTGATGAAACAAACCGTTAGTTCTCCCAAGAGGTACAGTAAACATGTGATGCGGACCAAAAGTTAAGAATTATTAGAGCACTACAGTTCTGGCTAAAAGAAAATTCCTGTAAAAGATACGTTACAATGTTAGCCCACAGAAAAACAAGAACTTCTACAATTTTCCGATAAACAAACTTTGTACCGCTAAAATACTTAAGGGACCACCTTTCTATTCCAACTGATAACGGCCTGGTAGTCGCCTGCTGATCGTTATGAATCCACTCCCGAAATATGGCTAAATCAGCTATTCACAAATTATTGACAGAAGTCCTCTACGGCATGGAGAAACTAATTTACATCCGATTTATAGACAAACACTAAATAAAGAACATTTTGCTCAA